AAAGAAAAATCGGTACAGCGGTCTGGTAGGGTTAAGATATTTCAAATAGGAAGGCCACTTAAAGTTTAGTAATGACCTTGAAGGGTAATTCTTGGAGAAGTTACCAAACCTGATTGTGGTTTTCCTCTTTCTTTGTCCAAAAGCATAATCTGGTTTATCAGGCTCAGGAAGACTAATTACCCAAACTCACAGTGTACTGAAATTTTAACAGGATAGCACTTTACTTAGGATGAGAATTATAAATGTGGCCCAGACTGAATAGTCATTTCCTTTGATTTTTTCTCCCATCAGGAATTCTATGTGAAAAGACAAATTATAATCAGAACATTTTTTGTTGAGCATAGGTACAGGTTGGAAATGTAACAATGTTAAGATTTGAGAGAAAAATCTGCCTAATGAAAACCAGTTCAGACATAGGACCTCAAAATAAAAATAAAATGTAACTCTCTAAACTCTCCAGATTAAACTTGTTCACTGTACAAATTTGATCAGAATGTTGATCTGTGATTTCTTCCTCCATGTTATAGGATCATTTTACTTTGTCTTTATTCTCTTTAAATAGGCGTAAATCGCTCTGTGGGGTTGGGTTAGCAATGATCAGTATCTGTGTTGATAACGGCATGATGGTGGCTGATTCATGCCCGGTCACCACACCCAGGGAGCTGGCAGCTGTCCTTCTCTCTCCCTTCCCTTCCCCTTCTCCTCCCTTTCCGAGCCAAGTCACCATAGGAAACATTCAATAGGCACTGTGACCCCCACCCCCCAACCTACTCTTTCTGATTTGACATTTTGCACTCTCTGTGAGTCATCTCAGTGTGCAGAGCTGTGGTGGAGTGACTCTCAGATTGATTCTAGATGTCAGAATTACATAATTTGTAAAAAAAACCAACCAAACAAAAAACACCCCAAAACCTGGGCAGAACAGGTAGGCAGGGTTGGGCTGTGGGAGTGGAATTTGGTCACAAAAGTGGTATCCCTTTGGGAATAATCAGCAGTGTCAGGGATCATTCATTATAACATTTTGATTTGTATTTGTGACATTTATGCATGAAAAATATGAGTAAAGCAAATTGGATTTAATTCTGATATTTTTATGTAGTCTCTGCCCATTTCTAGTCATATAAATAATAATAACTGCTGAAGAGTTTTCTCTGTTTTATGTGGAGAATTTCCCAGGTGTTGTTTTCCTAGTTCTGAGATGTGTCAATGTTTTTTTATGCAGCTCTGAAAGATTGGTATTGCTGGCAGGTGGTAGCCTGGAGATCAGTGACGTCACTGAGTATGATGCCGGGACTTATTTTTGTAGAGCTGATAATGGAAATGACACAATTGAGGCTCAAGCAGAGCTTACAGTGCAAGGTATGTAAGTATTTCCTGTATAAATAAAAGTTCTGTGTACTTCATGGGTTTGCCAGCTGTTTAACATGAATATAGGGGAGGCAACATAGTGTAATAGTGAAAAGCCTGAGCTTTAAACCAAACTGCTTGGGTTCACATTCTGGGTCTTATATTTCCTGGCTGTATAACTATCGGAAATTTCCTTAACATCATCTGTAAAATGGAGATAATAAGACTACTTACCTCGTTGGGGTTATTTTGAAGATTAAAAGAGTTAGCATTTGTCAAACTCCTAGAATAGTGACTAGAATAGTGCCTAGAAAAGTCCCATATGGTGACAATATGGTAAGAGCTCCAAGTTAGGTATCGCTGTTATCACCTGTGGTGGTAGTGTGGGGACGGGTGTGATCTGGGTGTCTGCACAGTTCAGTTCACTTTTCTTGTCTCAGGTGCTTTCTCTCAGACTTCTCTGTTCTCTGACCCAGAACCATGGGTCTCCTAAGCACTGGTGTTCCCTCCTTTCAGGTTACTAGATCACCCAGGAAATGGGGTGTACTGTGCCTCTCAGTGTAACATGGATTCTGTTTGATGATTGATTTCTTTGTCTTCAGCTGATGCTGAGTATCACAGCATCTCTCCTTACAGGTTTTCTGGTTTAGAGTCAGAGAAAAGGAGCACGTGTGTACACGTAATCTCTTCTTTGTCCCATCTCCCTTGCCCTTCTTCCATACGGAGCTGTATTCTCTGAGGAATACCTGCTTTCTCTCCTGTGATTTGTCTGCACCCTCGTTTGCCTTTGTTTCAAATAAAAATCTTTAAGACCTTCTCCATTACTTTCAGGGAAATCCAACACTGCTTGGATATGTAGGTGTACGTGGTGTGATCGAAAAATACGGTGAATGTTTAAATAAAAAAATGTGTTACAGTAAAAAACACATTGCTATCAATCCCCTTTAAAATACTTCACCTCACTTCAAACACATTTATCCCATCGTTCTTGCCACTTCTGAAGCAGTTCTAGAAGTCTTGTTTCATGATTGTCTTTACTTCATCCTCTGTCATGACAATGCTCCGTGTGTCATACATCGCTTCTGCCATATAAAAACATTATGTTGTGTTGTTATTCACTGGATCTGGCACTGTGCGACTGCGGGCTCTTCCCCAAAGTCAAAATGATTCAGGACATTGAGGCAGCCACAACAGCGCAACTAAATACCGTATTTGCCGGCGTATAAGACGATTTTTTGGCCCTGAAAAATATGCCTCCAAGTGGGGGGTCNAAAAAAAAATTTTTTTTAAACTTGTTTTATGGAAGACCCTATTGAGAGGATAAAAAGGTAATCTACATAGAGAATATATTTTCAAACCTTGTCTCCAACAAAGGACTATTATCTAAAATGTTTAAAGATCTTTCAAAATTCAGCAGTAAAAAAAGCATATAGTCCAACAAGACCATGGGCAAAGGCATGAATAAATGTTTCACTGAAAAAGATATACAGATGGCAAATAAGCACAAGAAAAGTTGTTTAACATCATTAGCCATTAGGGAAATGCAAATTAAAACTGCACTGAGTTTGAGATACCACTACATTTCTATCAGAATGGTTAAAATATTTAAAAAGTGACACCACCAAATGCTGTCAAGGCTGTGAAGAAACGGGATGTCTCTGACATTGCTGGTAGGAATATGAAATGGTACAGTCTCTCTTAGAAACTGTTTGGCAGTTTCATCAAATGTTTAACCTGTGCCACTACCGTATGATCTAACATTTACACTCTTGGGCATTTATCCCATAGGAATGAACTTATGTTTACACAAAAACCTGGCCATGTATATTTATAGAAACTTTATTTATAATAGCACCAAACTGGAAACAACCCACATGTCCTTCATTGAGTGAATGGTTCAGCTATGGTCTTTCCATACTGTGGAATCACTGCTAGGCAATAGAAGGAATGAATTATTGATCCATGCAACACCCTGGATGAACCTCCAGAGAATTATGCGGAGCAAAGGAGGCCAGTCCCCAAAGGTTACATACTGTGTGATTCTATTTATACAACATTCTTCTTGAAATGACAGAATTACTGAAATAGGGAACAGATGAGTTGTTGCCAGGGGTTAATGAGGGGAGTGGGAGTAGAAGGGAAGTGGGTGAGGCTGTAGATGGCCGTGGTGCTGGAAGTGTCAGTGTCCTGATATTTTATGTAGTTTTACAAGGTGTTACTATGGGGAAACCAGTAACGGGAGAATGGGATTTCTGTATTATTTCTTGGACCTGCATGTGAATCTACAGTTATCTCAAAATGAAAAGTTTAGAGAAGAAATATGAGAGAACAAATTGTGTACCAGAGAGTATATGACTTAACTTTCACCATCGCTTCCTGTTGTGCTGTTTTCAAGTGTCTGAGTTCCTTTGTGCTCCAGATCTTACTAGTGTCTGTCCTCTCCAGAACCTTATGAATCCCCTTTTCAAATTTCCCCTCTCCATTGCTCCTTCTCTTTTGCCTCTAAAAAGGCTTACCTCTTGCCCACTCACATAATAATACACACAAAACCTGTGTGAGAGAATCAGTTTTCCTCTTGCTTTCCCCTTCACACTCACTGCTCCAACCGTTAGTCTTCTTTGACACATTTCTTCCTCAGCTTCTCTGTCCAATCATCTGTCTACAAGAGCTGTCATTTTACCTCCTAAATATCTCTGAAATCCATCTATGTTGCTACTACCTTATTCTAAGCTACTGTCAACTGCCCCTTTAATTACTGCAATAGCCTCTTAATTGTTCTTCCCTCATGTACCCTGGCCTCATTCCAAATGCATCTTCACTCTCCTGCCAGACCAGTCTTGTCAAATCTCATCACATCACTGTCAACCCCCTACCCACTTTTAAAAATGTTTAATGGATTTCCAGTGTTTTTAGCTGAAGGACTCAAATTGTTAAACTGGCTTTCAAAGCCGGGTGTGGTCTGGCCTCCTCCTCATCTTTCTCTTTCCTTCTCTCTTACACCTGCCACGCTGGTTATTTTCAGATCCCTAAATGCAGCGTGATCCCTTCTGCCCCATTTCCTTTGCACGGGCTAGTCTTTCTTCCTGAAATCTTTGTCTCCCCCTCCTTATGTTAGCTCCTACTCATTCTTCAAATCTCAGCTCAAGGGTTCCTTTGGTCAGGAACATCTCTCTGTTCTAATTTCCTAATTTACCACTTTGTAGAATAGCATATTTTGTGTCTTTTTCCCACTGAGCAGCGTGGCAGTGCTGATGGTGTTTTTGCTCACTGCTGCATCCCCAGCCACTACCTGACACTTAGGTTCCAGTGAGTAATCGGTAACTGTATGAATAAATCCTCCTTACCTTCATCATCCAGCTCTATTAAAGAGTGGTCAATACCTTTTGCCTTCTCTCTACCCCTGTCATCACCGCCATTCATCTCTTTCTCTTTAATTCTGGACCATTACAGTAACTTTACAACCAAATTCCTGCTTCTAGGCTTTTTCCCCTTCCTCTTGTTTCTTCACTAAAACTTAGCATGTTATTCATCTGCTTAAAAAATCTGCTTTTCCCCTTTGGCCAAAAAAGTAGGTCTCCTTAGGACACCACAGTCTCCTAGACTGACCCCAACTACTCAGTGACGCACAAACACACACACACTCCTTCTGTTCACCCACATTCAGCTTAACTTGGGTCCATTGACCATGCATACTTTTTCACCTATTGTTTCTTTTGCCTGCATTTTTGAAAATTGGAGTTCTAATGGCTTGTGTGCCATTTTACTATAAGCCGTGATATAGTTAATGTGAACAAGTTAAATGAATTCTGACAAGTTAATGGACATTCTTCCTCTCCGGCTTCTTTTAAGCAGAGTAGCATCACCTCCATTAAGAAAGATAGACTTTGGGGCGGGGTGGGGGCTTGTCACTTTTTGAGGGGTGAAAAGTATAACTATTGCATTGTTTTGTACACCTAAAACTTAATAAAAAAAATAATTAAAAAATAAACAGAAAAAAGAAAGATAGACTTACTCTACTGGTACTCAGCAAGTATTAGGAATATTTTTAGTATGATTATTAGATACAAATTTCTGTATCTCCATTTCAAAAGTACCACACCAACTAGTGTTTCAAATTATGTTCTTCTCAGCTGGGTGTCATATATTTATGTTGCTGATTTCCCATTTGTGAACATTGTTTTCCATTTCTAAAGCTTAGTAGTGATTTTGTCCAGCGGTAAAATACAGGATTTTAATGTTTAAATTGTTCTTGTTTTGTTTTATCTGTTTATTTTACCCCAGTTATTCTTGCTCTGGTCCATTATATGTGGTCTTGCTTCTTTGTTGCATCACATAAAGTTGGGATTTGACAGCATAATTAACCCTACCAGACCTGAGGCCCTGAACCTAACTGTCCCCTATACCTGGGCTCCTGAGCATTAAAGAGAAAAAACCAACATGATATAGAAAAATGTTAGTTACATGCAAACAAGTGGTTAGAATAAGATGGAACTTGGAGGCATTGTAGAAAATAGG